GCACACATGAACAATCATATGGTTAGAAATAACCTTTTCAGACAAAGATTGAAGTGTATGCAAAATAACACATCCTTAGGGCTTTGTTTTGTTTCTTCTTTTTCCCTCTAAATCTGAGAGTTTAGAATCATCTTATCAGGCTGTGTGGCAACTGAGTTCACAACGACATCTCCAGCCCTGGTCTGTGAGGGCATCCAGGGCAGGGGAAAAGCCTTCCTCCCTGGACCCCCAAACTAACCCAGGGCTGGGCACATACAAGACTTGCAGTCACGTCTGTTGAATAACTGTCGCCATCCTTGGCTGACTCTCATCGTTAACCGCGTTTCAACATCAAACACTGATTTTATTTGAATTGAACCTCAAATACGATATATCTCTGGGGGAAAAAAAACCTTTTTACTTGTACACTACAAATACAGTGTTGTTTTTCCAGCACAAATGCGCTTCTGCTGAAATACTGCTTTGCTAAAGTCTTGGCGAAGACACGATGGATGATCTCAGAAATGGGTGCGGGGACGTGCTGAGTGGGAGAGACCACCATTAATACACACAGCACCCACACACCTGCTTTATGAGTGGGTTTATCATCCTCCAAAAAGCTGACTAGGACTGGGAGTCGAGATAAAGAAAAACTATTTAAGAGTTTGGCTTAAAAAAAAAAATCTGGGGCTTCCCTGGTGGCGCAGTGGTTGGGGGTCCGCCTGCCTATGCAGGGGACACGGGTTCGTGCCCCGGTCCAGGAAGATCCCACATGCCGCGGAGCGGCTGGGCCCGTGAGCCATGGCCGCTGAGCCTGCGCGTCCGGAGCCTGTGCTCCGCAAATGGGAGAGGCCACAACAGTGAGAGGCCCGCGTACCGCAAGGAAAAAAAAAAAAAAAATCTGTGGCTTTCTGTTACCTGGTGTGCTGTGTAGCCTAATAACATTTAGCAATTCTGAAATGTACTGGTTCAATCAAGGATTGCTAAAAAGATCAATCAGTTCTCACTAGAAAGCACAGCTAAAAGTAACAGGATGCACAGAAGAAAGCCATGTTTTCCACCAACATTAAACAGCAACAAAGGCCCTGAAACAGAAAAGAGAACTGAGTGAACTATAAAATTTTACAAAAGTCCCCAAAAGCAATCGCTCAACAGCACATAACTGCAAACTCTATGAGCAATAATGTATCTTTCTCTACAAAATAAATTACTGAAAGGGGTCATGTGATTCTTAGCAGGCAGAAAGATGCACTTTCCCAAGGAAAGTTCATCATTAAATATATTATTTAAGACTGGATCATCTTCAGGCTATTTTTAATCCTATCATTCTGCTGCCAAAATTAGCTATAAGCAGCTGAAACTCAGCCACTAGAAAACTGATGTTTTTTCATGTATTTTGTACACTGGCCTGAGAAGAGTATTGCTTTCCAGTTAATCAAACGTTTGGGTGGATGTGAACTATGTACAGAAAAGAGAAACTGCTTGCTGACCAACTAATAAAAAGGAAGCCAACCTCTACTGGATGTGGAGAAGTAAGTTCCTGTCTTCCTCAACCACAAAGACCAAATGACAAACACACAAAAGAAGTCGCACCACCATGTCATCAACAGAATGAAGCCAATATCCAAGTTATGGCACATGTCATTCTTGCAGCTGTCAAACATCTCACTCTCTCCTAAGACATGAAGTGAAATGTTGTCACGTTTCTCAGTTCAGAGGGCGCCATCAATGTTCATTCACCATCAACTTGTCCAAATCTCAACACTCTGCTTGCAAGAGCCCCTTGGTCATGAAGCAGTCTCAGGGCCCCTAAACTCATTTACAGAATTTGAACTGTGTTACAAGGGGATCAAACAATACCGAATGGAGCTATTAAAAGAGCTAAATTTCCTGTCTTTAACTGGAGTAGAAAAGCTATCTTACTTTCATGGGGTCTGTAATGCCAACACAAATTGTATAGCTACCAGGCAAAACATTCTTGAGAGGATGGAGCTTATAACAATTTCTCTCCTGTCTCTCTTGAATTCCAGTCTATTTCTTCCAAGGGTCAGATCGCTATAGTGGACACATGGGAAATATTCAGCATCCTAGGTAACATTATGGACCCGCGGGGCCACTGGAAAGGTACACTGTAGGATCCATCCCAGATTGCCGTTTTTCCTAAAAGGCGTCCACGAGAATCGATGGTCGGTGAGGGCAGCCAGCATCTCTAACTCTCACGTGCACACAAACACCTGTAGACGTGCAAACCACAGATTCTGACTCAGAAGCTCTGGGGCGGGACCTGAGACTCTGCATCTCTAAGAAGCTCCCAGGTGGCGCCCAGGCTGCTGGTCCCTGAGCCACACTTGGAGTGGCAGGGTCTCGGGCATCTAGAACTGCCTCCCTCTGGAAGCCTTATTCAGACTTAGGAATAAAGCCATACTCCACTCCACCGCCAACTTCTTCTTTGGTCTTTATATAATTTGTAGACTTCTAGGACCATCTCTGAGACACTATCATCCAAGGCCCTGCTTTCTCCAAGTTATGGAACATGGAATGCAAACTTTTTCCTTGGCCTCAGAAGTAGCAGCAGCAAAGAAAAAAAATGTGACTTAGAATCTAAAGCTCCCATAAGAATAGATTCAGTAGATGAGCTGATCCACCGAGCCCTGTAAACAGTACAACATTGTCCAACGTTAAAAGAATGTGCTAGCTCTCTTCTGAAATTTTACCTTCCTTACTGAGTCCTTTACACTGCAAGACGCAACATATTATTAGAGATGCAACACTGATTGGTGCAAATTTGGAGGAAAATCTGTCTCTATGCCAAATGCTTAAAATAAAAATTTAGGTTCATAATGCACCTTTGAAAGGATAAGTACGTCAGGCTCTCAAGTACTACCACTTTTATTATTCCAAAGTGGACATTTATGATTGCATTTCCTGATATATACTTTTTTTTTTTTGCCAAAGTCCTCTGCTTTCCTGTTTAGTCATCCATCTATATGTTGTCCTGAAAGCTACACATTTTACCATCAGCTATATGTGCTTCTATATGATTTATTTTTACTATAAGAGGTTTTGTCCAAAAAAAGTTTATCATGTTCTACGGTACGTCATTGTGGTTTGGCATCATAAAATGTAGCCTCTACATTTACCAACCTCAGATACCTGTTGACCACAAAGATAGGCTCTACTAAGAAAACTCTAGTTTGAAAGTAGGAAAAGGTGAGCCTTCACTTAAAAAGAAAATTCAACTGTATGAGATGTTAATATACCACAACTGGACAATAAAGATCAAGATTATATCTTAATTTCTATCATAAACATATGTCTCCATTTCCCATCTTTTCATTAAATTACTTGACACATGACAGTTACCACCATGGATTTCTTTCAACTAGAAAGAAAATTTTTTTAATTATTTTCACAAAAATATGTAAGAGTCAAACTGTTATATTAGTTCTACTTTGGTCTTAAAATGATCCTTTTGGCGTCTGGAAGTCCCTACCTCTTTGGTTATGGTGGTTAAAAATAAAACCACCTACATAACCAAACATTTAACAAAAATATTCTTTACACACTTCACTGAATTCTTCCAGAATTACTAAAGATCTGATAATATGAGATCTCGAAAAACAAACAATTCACAAAAAGCATTTAAATTTTAGACATTAAATGGGGATGTTTTACTTTTAAACACTGAACAGTGGCATCAATATTTTGTCAACTTTGGTCAAGTAGGATCAGATGTTCATGTCAGTCATCTACTTTTCTTGGCCTTTTCTCTTTTTGGCCCCTTACCATTAGCACACTTTGTGAACTGTAGTAAAATATGTAATGTGCTCTTTGAAATCGAATACACCTGTAGTGACTTCTAAGCTTTTTGCTCCTGTTAGGTCCTATAAAATAATAACATTAGTAATTCTCCCTAGAGACTGTGAAAGGAAGCACTGAATTGCATCCTTTTTCAAAGACAGCTCTTCAGATTAAAGGACAAGAATTATTCCTCTTGCACTTTTTCACAAATTAATCACTTCAGATATAAAGTGTAGATGTCAATTTCACTTCTTCAGCCTTAGGATCTGTACCCCTCCCCCAAAGAACCACACACACAAAAAGAACTTTATGGCGACATGATAGAGGCTCTATCTAGCACAACAGTACCAGAAAAGAAGCAGTTCACAGATGTTCTTCAAAAATACAGGCATCAATCACTTCAGCTAAAGTCAGAGCACGAGAATCCACAGCTACGAATCAATTCTTCTGCACTTTATATAGATACTCTAGATGCAAGTTTTGCCAGCAGAGGGGACCCACCAAATCACGTGGATTCCAGGTGGTGAAAGAAGATACTAAAATTCCAGTAAACCTCAAAATCACACACAAGTTATAGAAATAGAACACAAGGTACGCAGCCAATGCAAATTCTGTCACAGCTTACCTCTTTACAAACATCCAGGTGTTCCAGGGAAAGGGGCTACACTGGTTTTCCTCTTTGGGTAGATCTTACCAAGTGAGTCAGAAAAGGCATGCCCTTGGTCCTCTGGGGGAGTCTGTTCTTCCAACTGGATGGTTCTCAAATTTTAGTACAAAGAAGAAACCCCCAGGGGAGCTTATTTCTGATGCGGATTGCCAGGACCCAGCCTGGCATCTAGATTATGAGTTGTCCCTGAAATGTCCCATTTCAACAGGCTACACAGGCCAGGTACCATGATGAGGGGGATCCTTGGACCCCCAGTTTGAGAAACCCTGAAGGGATGCCATTTACCCCAAGATCCTACTGAACAGCAAAGGCTGGATCTTTGAACCTCAATGGCTGGCAAGCAAGGGAAACAATTTTGCCGGGAAGCAATGATCACAGTTGGGCTGGCAGGGAGACCTCTGTACAGGCAAAGAGGGAGGGAAGCCACAACCCTGATTTTATTTCATTGGCTCATCGGTCTCCCTTGGCCCAGTAGCCCACCCAGACTCCAACCTCCGCATCTCAGACCCGAGAGGTCCAGCCCAGACTCACATTCAATCAGACATGCACCTACCCAGCCTCCGTTATCCTGGATCCAGGTGTGCAGGTGTCGGTTCAGGTACTCAGTCATCCACAGGGCGATGCTGTCCACCAGGGGGGACATCTCCCGGTTGACGCTCTCCACACACATGACCCCACCGAACTCAAAGAAGGCCACAATCCTCCCCCAGTTCACTCCATCCCTGAAGAGCTCCTCCACCACCGTGGCAAAGCGTCCCCTCGCGGTGAAGGGCGTCAGGTGCAGCTGGCTGGACATCTCGGCGAAGTCGCGCCGGTAGCGACGAGAAAAATCATCACCGGCCTGGCGCAGGGTCAGGTGGACCACAGGTGGCACGGGGCTGAGCGCAGGCCCCCCGGCGGGGGCGGCGGGAGCGGTCTGGGGCGGCGGCGGGGAGGTCCTGGATGGCGCTGGGGTGCGCCCGGGCTGGGAGAAGATGCCCGGCGCGGGGGCGGCCCCCGGGGACGCGGCGCCCGCGTCTCCGGCATCCCACTCGTAGCCCCTCTGCGACAGCTTATAGTGGATGTACTTCATCACTATCTCCCGGTTATCATACCCTGTTCTCCCAGCGTGCGCCATCCTTCCGCCACGGAAAAGCAGCCGGGTACCAACAGCACCTCTCGCCCACGCTTCCCGCCCCACGGCCCCGCACGAGAGAAGAATAGTTATAATCCAGCTATTTTATTGGATGTGCTTTGCATTCTTGGATGAGGGGGTGTCTTCAGTCACGCGGAACACTTGATTCTGGTGTTTCCCTCTTGGCATGAGATGCAGGAAATTTTTATTTAAATTCCTTTCGGATCTTTATTTCATGAGGCACATTATTAATTATTGTTAGTATCAGTCTACTTCCTCCGTGATGCTGAAAGGTTAAAAAAACTAATCAGTCAAAATCAGGTGCATTTCCCTTTATACAGTGGGTGAAGGCAGGGCACACACACTACAAGTTACACAGCTAAAAATAATATAATAAACTGCCTGGAAATTAAACTTACTCGAATGCACTTAAAGTTAAAATCTCAACTGTTTCCACTGAAAGTTACATGAAACCCATTTCCTGTGCAAAGAACTTACTTGTATTTTTTCAGGACAGCATGATCCTCTGTCAAGTTTCCTTTTCTGTGAAAACAAATGCATAAGGCAAAGATTCCATCAATCTTCAGAACTCTCCAGTGATAGCTGCTGTGAAACTTCCAAATGAATCAGGAGTTGGGGGCGGAGGGTGTAAAAATGAGGAGAATTTCCAGTTTGATTCCCAGACTTCTCCTTCACAGAAATGTCAATCCGTAGGAATCCCAACCGGAGATCTCAAGAGCACGAGCAAAGAAAGGCAGCGGCGGCGGCAAATGAATTACAATTTTCAGTCCAGTATTTGCAGAAGTCCTGTGATTTTCCCCCTCTCGGCAATTTACACGCGCACACACACGCGCGGGCACAGACATGGATCTCTGTCCGCGGGACCGCTTCACGCCTCCACGGGAGAGAGACAGGGACCGGGGGCCGGTGGACGACGAGCCGGGGACCGGGGCAGGAATCCTCCTCTGATTAAACTCCGAACAGCGAATGCATTTTCCGAAAAGCTGCTTGATAAATGAAGGCTGGACGCGCCCGGCCCGCCGGTGCCGAGCGCGAGAAGCCCGCGCTGTGTGTGGTGCGGCGAGGGCTGGGCAGAAGGACGTGGTGGGGGAGGGCTTTATTTTTTCCCTCTTTTCCTAAAAAGGATGACTGCTACGAAGTTCTCCCCCCTGGACCCCCTCTTCCGCTGCACCCCACCGGCGCACCCCGCCTCCGGGCTGCGCACCCTTTCTCCTCCTCCTGTCCTGCGCGGCGGCGCTGGCGGCGTCCGCCTCCCCCGCGCTCCCGCCGCGCACCCGCTCCGGGCGATGACGGCCGCGCCGGCGGGGAGGGCCCGGCGCCCGGCACCTTCGCTGGCGGCTGCGGCGGCGGCGGCGGCTCGGCGGGGAAACCGAGAGCGGCGGGCGGGAGCGCGGCGGGCGGGGGCGGGGGCGGGCGCGAGGAGGAAGGGGGCGGGCGCGGCGCGGGGGGGCCTGGCCTCTTCATTCTCCTTTCGAACAGACTGGTTTCCTGTTCGTACGTCACACGGTTCATTCAAAAAAAGAAGAAAGAAAGAGCCCTCCTCGGAGCCGCCCCGCCGCCCCCTCCGCCCCCTCCGCGCCCTCCGCCCCGCTCCCCTTGCCGGGTTAAAGGAGCCGCGGCCGGCCCGGGAGTGGCGCGCCCCGCCGGGGACTCATGGCGCGCAGGCCCGCGGCCGGGGAGGGAGCGCCCGGGACGGCCCCCGCCCGCTGCGCCCGCCCGCTGGGCCCGGCCGGTGGGTGGCGCGGGCGGCGCAGGCCTCCCGCGCGGCCGCGGCGCGGGGGGTGTGCCAGGGGCC